CCACACATGTGGGACAGGCTGTGCGCCGAGGTGGCGGGGCCTCAGCAGCAGCGCTGGAGCAACAGCACCAGCAGCCGCGAGGGTCAGGCAGCAAACCCTCCAAGGGGCCCAGTCTGGACGGCTGCGGCCGTGGGGCTGGCCAGCACCACCCACCCGAGCTTCCCCGCCGGACTGACCTCGGGGCAGACGTAAAGCTAGACGGACTGAGCACTGGGGCTGAGTCGCGAGTCACCAGGCGTGTGGCTTCCCGGCCGCGTTCAGTGGCGCTGGCATGGACGGGAGGACCCCACTGACGGAGGCTGGAGCTGCGCGCCTGACTACAACTGTGGATTTTACTCTTCCTTGAAAATGCTTCTAACTTAGCTCCCTCGGAACACTTTGAAACGAACGTATGTGAAAACAAAATATTCAGGACACAACGGAAGCCTTGTGCTTTTACAAAGGTCCAACTTTCATGAGCGTCACGGCCGTGCCACACATATGCTAATGTGGAAATTGTAACGGAATGTTTTTAAAACAAGCAAATTACCAGCTCTGGCTGGAACCTGCTGAAATCAGGTCACGGCAATTGCAAACCCTGCTTCTCTCCCTCTAAGTGGGAGACTGAGTGAGAAACCACGCCTGGATCCCTCGGGGAGCGGGAGCCCCCCACGGGCAGGCCACTGGGCTTGGCAGAGGCCCGAGTGCCGCCTGGCGACCCCTCCGGTCCCCTGCCACAGGCTCTAGCCCACGAGAGCGCAGCCAGGGAGGCCCTCCTGCTCCGCCACCCGGGAGCTCACGCCGGGCCTCAGGCTGGGGGTCCGTGGAGCCAAGACCGCCAGAAGCACAGTGCTCGGTGCGCCGGCCCTCGGCTCCTGGTTCTGAGGAGTCCCTGGTGGCCCCACGGGGCCCTTCCAGTCCACCTGGCTTGATGTGGGGGAAGCCTGGCCTGCGGTGGGCCCCTGTTAAGGTCCACAGGACTGACTGTCCCCTGTGCGGCGGTCACGTGCTCCCTGGCTATGGCTCAATGAGAGACGGCACCAAGTGACAGACACAGATGGGGGACCCAGAGGTCCAGAGGGGGCCGAGCTGGTCCAGCAGGGACACACCAGTGCTGAGGCTCCAGCTGTTTCCTGTGCCCGGCAAACATGCCACGATGTCTAAAAACACGCCCATCTGGACGACCTTCAGATTTGATTAAATAGTCAAATATTCAAAGGCATCCTAGCAGGGGCCATGGAGCATCAGGGGGACCGCGGCAGGTTGGGCCAAGCCTCAGAGGGGACAGGACAGAGCGCCTGTGTGACCCCCGCGGTGTGGAGCATGAGGGCAGTGTGCACACACACGGCCCATTACGCATGGCAAGGAGACCGGCCCCAGCGTGGTGGACCGGGCATCTGTGCCCTCCAGGTCCATGTGAAGGTTCTAGCCCTTTGTGGCTGTATTTGGAGGCGGGATCTCTGAAGAAGTCATTAGGGTCACGGTGGGGTCTAGGGTGGCCCGCTTGATGTGATGCATCCTCACAGGAGGAGACGCCAGTGCTCTCTCCATGTGCCACCCAGTGGGAAGGCGCCGTCTGCAGGTGGTGGGGAGGGGGTCCTTGCCAGGACCAGATGCTGAGAGCACCCTGATCAGGTTCCAGCTGCCAGAACCGCCATATAAGTACCTGCAGCTTCAGCCCCCAGCTGGGAGGGCAGCCCAAGCAGACACCTGCCACTCTCCACACACCAATCTGTGCCCTCAAGAAACAAGGACTGAGACACGAGAACAAAATGGCAACAGTTTAGAAGGAAACATCGGAGAAGATTGCATAACCAGAGGGGAGAAAAGCTCCAAAGACATCAAAGCCAAACGGAGGAGGGAGCCCATCCATGTCGACGCAGGCCAAGTCCACACCGAGGCCATGCAGGCGAGACCAGTGGTCTCAGTGACCAGCACGCACACGGGGCAGGCGTGACAACCCTGGATGCAGGAGCTGCCACAGGCTGACATGGAAAAAGCAGCAGAAACATGAGCAACAGACAAGAACAGGCATTTCACAGGAGAGAGTGAGAGAGATGGAAGCCCAGGCCTGAGGCGGCCGGAGGGACGCCCAGAGTCACAGCAGGATCAGCCCCATTTACCGCTACCCTTGGCAGCGGCTAAATCGGCACCAAAAGCCTCCTTGGGAGGGGCTTCCGCCTCCCCCGTGACCCAGCTGCCGTGCCACTCCCAGCCCACCCAAGAGGAGCCGTCACACAAGGCGGTGGATGTCCAGGGGCATCCGATGGAGCCGAGGCCCCACGGCAGGATGGAAAACGGCCCATGGCAGGTGTGTGACCACACAGCACAACACCCATCAGCTGGCAGCCCACGTCTGCCACGCTCAGCAGCACACGCAGCTTGGAGAGTCCAATCAGACTGAACACCAATATAAACCGATAGATCAATACACAGAAGCAGCTGACATGACACTGCTGTTGTGAAACTAAGAAATAAACTGTGCAGACAGAGCTCTGTGTTAGTGTACTGAGTGTCACAGGTGGAGATCGTGCCGAGTGAAAGACCAACAGCCAGTCCAGGACAGTGGCCACCTCTGGGGACAGCGCCCCAGGACAGGTGTGTGGCTGAACATCTACCCCAGGGCTGCCAAGAACACATGTGTGCACATGGAATGCTTTATAACATGTATGTGAATTCCACGTTCTCAGGGGCATGAAAAGCTCCAGCAGACATAGGTGCAGTTGTAAAACCCCGAGGGGCCCAGAGGGGCAACAAGGACAGTCACACATTCTTCTCACACCCCGATGCAGGCTCAATGCAGACAGTCCCACCTCATTTTTTTTAAGTGTTACGGATTCGTAACAGCAGCAGACTCACAGACTCCAAGAAGGGACTAGCGGTTACCAAAGGGGAGGGAGAGGGGGATTGAGGGGTATAATAATTGGTGCACATGGTGTGGGGGTGGTCACAGGGAAGACAGTGCTAGAACTGCCTCCCGGACCCCCAGGGACCCAAGTGTGCAGTCGCTCCTTGTCCGCCTATCATAAAGGGGTGACCGCTCCCTCCACGGGCCCTGCAGCATGAGAGGCCTGGGTGCCACCAGGAGGCGCCTCGCAACCCCAGGCCAGGTGGGGTCGTTCATTACACAGTGAAGGACTGAGTTCAGATACTGTCCCCACGTTTACTTGTTTAATAGCACCGAGCTGCTGTTCCATACGCAAAGCTCTGAATGACTGATTTCTTTGGGACAGACATGTGGGGGGGCTCAGGACGGAGCACCTCAGAGCCCCTGACCAGGCATTTCCCAATTGCTCTCCAGGAGGCAGGGCCCATGTCTACATCCCCAGGGAGTGGGCAGTGCCCGTCGCCATGCACGGGAACACGGAGCCCTGAGGCTCTGCAAGTCCCCGACGCAGACAGGGAGAATGTCCTGCATCTGCCTGACCACCAGTGACGCCGATGCTGCCGACCTGTGAACGATCACAGCTCTTACTCGGTTCCCTGTCATGTCCTCGTCCACCTTCAGGCTCTCAGCGTTTACTGAACAACCGGCTCGGGGATATCCTCATACTCGGCACGCACCCTGTTCTGCTCTCTTACTGTAGGTTTTATCTGCTACATTTTCCCTGCATGTTTTCTGCATTTCATTTGTGCGGAAACCCCAGAAGCCTGATTTGTCTGTGGGCCAAGTCTGAAGGCCCACTCCTCTCGGTTTCTGTGTGTTCAGCAGCAAGACAGGGCCCATCCTGTCCCCCTGGGGGCTCACCACCAAACCCATGGGAGCCAGCCCCAAAGTGGGACAAGGTCTGAGCGCTGCCCGGCTCTGCCCACTGGCTGAGCAGCGCCTGGTGCTCACTGTCCTCCATGGCTTCTGGCCCTGTGATGCCCAGCCTCCCCGAGGCACCAGACATTCTGCAGACCCCTGGTCCTCCCTCTATCCTTCCTGGTCCCCAACGCAGTGCCCCAGGTCTGCCTGCTGATTTTCTCCCAGTCATTACCTATAATAAACGACAAGCCTGAGCTTAGTGTGTACCCACTATGTGCCAGGAGTGGGCCAAGGCCTGAGCAGGCAGAGGCCCTGTGCCCCAAGCAGGACGCCCAGTCGGAGACACCCACACAGCTGTGAGGGACATCAGCGGTACATATGAGGGGTGGGCACAGAGAAGGGGCTGCCAGGTGGACATTTGGGTCAAGACAGAAAGCGAGGGGGTGTGGGCTCTGAGGATGCACAGTGCTCAGCATGTGCAAAGGCCCTCAGGCAAGCTGCGTGGCTGCCCTCGCTGGGGGAATGGGGCCCCCAAGTTCATGCCCACCCTGACCTCAGACTGTGACCTTACTTGGGAAAGAATCTTGGTAGATGTGCTTGGTCAAGTTGAAACAAAGCCACTCATGGCTGGTGTCCTTACAAGAGAGATGCCACAGGGAAGCCAGAGGCCAGAGCAGAGCAGGAGAGCTGCAGCCCCATCCTGCGCCCCAGCAACCCCCAGAAGCTGGAGAGACGCTGGGACAGGCCCTTCCCAGAGCCAAGGAGGGGGCACTGCCCTGTGGCGCCGGCTGTGGACCCCAGCCTCCAGGAGGCAAGAATGGCCTTGTGCTCTGCTCCCACAGCCCTAGGGCGCCCTGGTCCCTGGCCACTGAGCCACCTCCCCTACTCTTGTGTAACGGAGCAACTACAAAGAATATAAAAGAACCATCGAGAGAAACCATGGAAATGAGCTGCAGTGCCCCCTGGAACAGGCCGGGCAGCGGGCACACAGGAGACCCTTGCAGCCACCAGGGAATGCTGTGTGCAGTACGCATGCTTCAGCAGTCAGCCACCACCCCCGCCCCCTCTTCTGATCGCAAGCTGGCCTGGGCCTCCAAGGGGCCCGGGACACACACACTGCAGCCGGCATCCATGGAAAGGGGAGCCCCCATTGGCTAGGAAGCCTGAACAGGCTCTCGGTCGCCAGGGACAGCGCCTCTGGGGGGCTCGGATGCCCTCGGCTGTGTGCTGGTGGTGCAGCCGCTCGTGGCAGCGGGTGGGGGGTGGCACTCACCCTGTTAAAGCGCTTGGCTTGGAAGAGATGGCCGTTGGCCCGGTACAGCTTCCTCCATCTTCTGGCTCCGCGGCGGTAGATGGACTCTGGAAAGACGTGAGAAAGGTGTGAAACGGCACCGCGGCCACCAGCCCCCTGCACCTGTGGCACCACACATGTGGGACAGGCTGTGCGCCGAGGTGGCGGGGCCTCAGCAGCAGCGCTGGAGCAACAGCACCAGCAGCCGCGAGGGTCAGGCAGCAAACCCTCCAAGGGGCCCAGTCTGGACGGCTGCGGCCGTGGGGCTGGCCAGCACCACCCACCCGAGCTTCCCCGCCGGACTGACCTCGGGGCAGACGTAAAGCTAGACGGACTGAGCACTGGGGCTGAGTCGCGAGTCACCAGGCGTGTGGCTTCCCGGCCGCGTTCAGTGGCGCTGGCATGGACGGGAGGACCCCACTGACGGAGGCTGGAGCTGCGCGCCTGACTACAACTGTGGATTTTACTCTTCCTTGAAAATGCTTCTAACTTAGCTCCCTCGGAACACTTTGAAACGAACGTATGTGAAAACAAAATATTCAGGACACAACGGAAGCCTTGTGCTTTTACAAAGGTCCAACTTTCATGAGCGTCACGGCCGTGCCACACATATGCTAATGTGGAAATTGTAACGGAATGTTTTTAAAACAAGCAAATTACCAGCTCTGGCTGGAACCTGCTGAAATCAGGTCACGGCAATTGCAAACCCTGCTTCTCTCCCTCTAAGTGGGAGACTGAGTGAGAAACCACGCCTGGATCCCTCGGGGAGCGGGAGCCCCCCACGGGCAGGCCACTGGGCTTGGCAGAGGCCCGAGTGCCGCCTGGCGACCCCTCCGGTCCCCTGCCACAGGCTCTAGCCCACGAGAGCGCAGCCAGGGAGGCCCTCCTGCTCCGCCACCCGGGAGCTCACGCCGGGCCTCAGGCTGGGGGTCCGTGGAGCCAAGACCGCCAGAAGCACAGTGCTCGGTGCGCCGGCCCTCGGCTCCTGGTTCTGAGGAGTCCCTGGTGGCCCCACGGGGCCCTTCCAGTCCACCTGGCTTGATGTGGGGGAAGCCTGGCCTGCGGTGGGCCCCTGTTAAGGTCCACAGGACTGACTGTCCCCTGTGCGGCGGTCACGTGCTCCCTGGCTATGGCTCAATGAGAGACGGCACCAAGTGACAGACACAGATGGGGGACCCAGAGGTCCAGAGGGGGCCGAGCTGGTCCAGCAGGGACACACCAGTGCTGAGGCTCCAGCTGTTTCCTGTGCCCGGCAAACATGCCACGATGTCTAAAAACACGCCCATCTGGACGACCTTCAGATTTGATTAAATAGTCAAATATTCAAAGGCATCCTAGCAGGGGCCATGGAGCATCAGGGGGACCGCGGCAGGTTGGGCCAAGCCTCAGAGGGGACAGGACAGAGCGCCTGTGTGACCCCCGCGGTGTGGAGCATGAGGGCAGTGTGCACACACACGGCCCATTACGCATGGCAAGGAGACCGGCCCCAGCGTGGTGGACCGGGCATCTGTGCCCTCCAGGTCCATGTGAAGGTTCTAGCCCTTTGTGGCTGTATTTGGAGGCGGGATCTCTGAAGAAGTCATTAGGGTCACAGTGGGGTCTAGGGTGGCCCGCTTGATGTGATGCATCCTCACAGGAGGAGACGCCAGCGCTCTCTCCATGTGCCACCCAGTGGGAAGGCGCCGTCTGCAGGTGGTGGGGAGGGGGTCCTTGCCAGGACCAGATGCTGAGAGCACCCTGATCAGGTTCCAGCTGCCAGAACCACCATATAAGTACCTGCAGCTTCAGCCCCCAGCTGGGAGGGCAGCCCAAGCAGACACCTGCCACTCTCCACACACCAATCTGTGCCCTCAAGAAACAAGGACTGAGACACGAGAACAAAATGGCAACAGTTTAGAAGGAAACATCGGAGAAGATTGCATAACCAGAGGGGAGAAAAGCTCCAAAGACATCAAAGCCAAACGGAGGAGGGAGCCCATCCATGTCGACGCAGGCCAAGTCCACACCGAGGCCATGCAGGCGAGACCAGTGGTCTCAGTGACCAGCACGCACACGGGGCAGGCGTGACAACCCTGGATGCAGGAGCTGCCACAGGCTGACATGGAAAAAGCAGCAGAAACATGAGCAACAGACAAGAACAGGCATTTCACAGGAGAGAGTGAGAGAGATGGAAGCCCAGGCCTGAGGCGGCCGGAGGGACGCCCAGAGTCACAGCAGGATCAGCCCCATTTACCGCTACCCTTGGCAGCGGCTAAATCGGCACCAAAAGCCTCCTTGGGAGGGGCTTCCGCCTCCCCCGTGACCCAGCTGCCGTGCCACTCCCAGCCCACCCAAGAGGAGCCGTCACACAAGGCGGTGGATGTCCAGGGGCATCCGATGGAGCCGAGGCCCCACGGCAGGATGGAAAACGGCCCATGGCAGGTGTGTGACCACACAGCACAACACCCATCAGCTGGCAGCCCACGTCTGCCACGCTCAGCAGCACACGCAGCTTGGAGAGTCCAATCAGACTGAACACCAATATAAACCGATAGATCAATACACAGAAGCAGCTGACATGACACTGCTGTTGTGAAACTAAGAAATAAACTGTGCAGACAGAGCTCTGTGTTAGTGTACTGAGTGTCACAGGTGGAGATCGTGCCGAGTGAAAGACCAACAGCCAGTCCAGGACAGTGGCCACCTCTGGGGACAGCGCCCCAGGACAGGTGTGTGGCTGAACATCTACCCCAGGGCTGCCAAGAACACATGTGTGCACATGGAATGCTTTATAACATGTATGTGAATTCCACGTTCTCAGGGGCATGAAAAGCTCCAGCAGACATAGGTGCAGTTGTAAAACCCCGAGGGGCCCAGAGGGGCAACAAGGACAGTCACACATTCTTCTCACACCCCGATGCAGGCTCAATGCAGACAGTCCCACCTCATTTTTTTTAAGTGTTACGGATTCGTAACAGCAGCAGACTCACAGACTCCAAGAAGGGACTAGCGGTTACCAAAGGGGAGGGAGAGGGGGATTGAGGGGTATAATAATTGGTGCACATGGTGTGGGGGTGGTCACAGGGAAGACAGTGCAGCACAGAGAAGACAAGTAGTGACTCTGTGGCATCTTACTACCCTGATGGACAGTGACCTCAATGGGGTGTGGGGGGGACTTGATAATATGGGTGAATGTAGTAACCACAATGTTTTCATGTGAAACCTTCATAAGAGTGTATACTAATGATACCTTAAAAAAAAGTGTTAAGGATTCATTTCTAACTTTTTTTGGAGGGTGCAGGGCAGGCACTGACTTATCTCAAATGAAGCACATCTGGTTTGAAAAAAGAAACAGCTGTACACGTGCGCCCACTGCCACACCTGGGGGAGGCGCGTGCCCCACACTGCAGGCTGTACCTCAGGCAGGACATGGGCCAGAGCAGCTGCTCTGGGGGCTGTCGGGCAGAGGCGACGCTGTTTCCAGCTATAGGGGTGCCGCAAACGTGGGAGGAAGGGAAGCAGGGGTCAAGGCAGGAGTGCAGGCTGGGAGGAGAGGCAGCACCCCGGAAGGGGCAGTGCATGCGAGCTGCGCGCAGGACGGCCCCCGCGGTTGGGCAGAAGTGCCTCCACGCTGCTGTCAGTGTCTGCAGACGAGTCTGGCTTCAGGATGGGGAGCCTCATGGCACTGGCAGAATGTGATGGTCAGTTTTATGTATCCGCTGGGCTGGGCCATGGTGCCGATCCGCGGTCAAACCTCACTCTGGACAGTTGTGTGAGGGTGCTTTCAGAGGAGGTAACGCTTAAATTAGAGGAACCTGAGTGAGGCAGACGGCCTTCCAGGCTGCATGGCCACCTCCAATCAGCTGAAGCCTGAACAACAAGAAGCCAACATACCCAGCATGGGACTCAGCAGTGGACGGCCCTGCACCTGGACTGTGGCGTCGGCTACTCCTGGGTGTTTGGCCTGCTGGCCCACCCTGCATATTCTGGACCCGTCTGTCTCTGTAACTGTGAGTGCCAATTCCTTATAGTACAGGCGGGCTTTGCAGATATTGTGTACTTCACAAACCGAGGCACACCGACCAAGTGTACGGGCCATTTTCCCGACAGCGTCGCTCCCTTTGTCTGAGTCACATTTCAGCAATTCTCACCGTATTTCCAACTTTCCTCCATTGTTATGGTGATCTGTGGTCAGTGATCTCTGCTGTTATCAATCATTTTGGGGTGCCATGAACTGCACACACATTTAAGACGGTGAATTTAATCGACAGATGTGTGTGGCCTGATTGGCCTCCACTGGCCACTCCCCCACCTCCCTCTCCTGGGGCCTCCCTATTCCCTGACTCAACACTGACCCGAGACCAATTATAACCTTGCAACGGCCTCTAAGTGTTCAAGTGACAGGCAGGGTCACATGTCCTTTAAATCAAAAGCTGGAGATGCTGAAGCTCGGTGGGGAAGGTGAGTCAAAAGCCAAGACAGGCCAGAAGCCGGGCCTCCTGTGCCGGCCGGCCAGGGTGTGAAGCAAGGAAAAGCCCCGGACGGACACTGAAAGCGCCCCTCCAGCGACCGCACGAGCGATGAGAATGGGGAACAGCCTCACTGCCGACGTGAGACAGGGGGCTGGACGGCAGACCACGGCAGCCCAGCATCCCCGCAGGCCAGAGCCCGGTCCAGCGCAGGGCCCCGACTCTCTCCAATCCTGTGAGGCTGGGAGGGGAGGAGGCTGTGGAAGAAAAGCTGGATGCTGGGAAAGGTGGTTTCAGGAGGCTCGACGAAAGAAGCATCTCCACAACCTAACAGCGCAGGTGAAGCCGCAGGTGCTGATGGCGACGCTGCAGGAAGCCATCCAGGCCGGGCCGAGATCACTCAAGGCGGCTGCACGGAACCACAGGTTTTCCATGTGCATCAAACAGCCTCATACGGGAAGAAGACGCCACCTGGGGCTTTCCTAGCCGGAGGGAAGTCAGTGTCTGGCTTCAAAGCGGCCAAGGGCAGGCTGACTCCCTCGTGAGGGGCCGATGCAACTGGTGGCTTTAAGCTGAAGCCAGCGCTCACTTGCTTTTCCAAAAATCCCTGGGCCCTTAAG